CAGATCCGAGTAGAGGAACACACTTTTTATGACCAAAAACGCATCCAAAAGCATAAAAAACATTCGAAAAAAATTCAATTTTTCTTAGGCAGAAGATTTTATTGCATATTCTTGCACAAAATACACCGAAAAGTGTAGAAAAAAATTGACACCCAGATCCGAGTAGAGGAACACACTTTTTATGACCAAAAACGCATCCAAAAGCATAAAAAACATTCGAAAAAAATTCAATTTTTCTTAGGCAGAAGATTTTATTGCATATTCTTGCACAAAATACACCGAAAAGTGTAGAAAAAAATTGACACCCAGATCCGAGTAGAGGAACACACTTTTTATGACCAAAAACGCATCCAAAAGCATAAAAAACATTCGAAAAAAATTCAATTTTTCTTAGGCAGAAGATTTTATTGCATATTCTTGCACAAAATACACCGAAAAGTGTAGAAAAAAATTGACACCCAGATCCGAGTAGAGGAACACACTTTTTATGACCAAAAACGCATCCAAAAGCATAAAAAACATTCGAAAAAAATTCAATTTTTCTTAGGCAGAAGATTTTATTGCATATTCTTGCACAAAATACACCGAAAAGTGTAGAAAAAAATTGACACCCAGATCCGAGTAGAGGAACACACTTTTTATGACCAAAAACGCATCCAAAAGCATAAAAAACATTCGAAAAAAATTCAATTTTTCTTAGGCAGAAGATTTTATTGCATATTCTTGCACAAAATACACCGAAAAGTGTAGAAAAAAATTGACACCCAGATCCGAGTAGAGGAACACACTTTTTATGACCAAAAACGCATCCAAAAGCATAAAAAACATTCGAAAAAAATTCAATTTTTCTTAGGCAGAAGATTTTATTGCATATTCTTGCACAAAATACACCGAAAAGTGTAGAAAAAAATTGACACCCAGATCCGAGTAGAGGAACACACTTTTTATGACCAAAAACGCATCCAAAAGCATAAAAAACATTCGAAAAAAATTCAATTTTTCTTAGGCAGAAGATTTTATTGCATATTCTTGCACAAAATACACCGAAAAGTGTAGAAAAAAATTGACACCCAGATCCGAGTAGAGGAACACACTTTTTATGACCAAAAACGCATCCAAAAGCATAAAAAACATTCGAAAAAAATTCAATTTTTCTTAGGCAGAAGATTTTATTGCATATTCTTGCACAAAATACACCGAAAAGTGTAGAAAAAAATTGACACCCAGATCCGAGTAGAGGAACACACTTTTTATGACCAAAAACGCATCCAAAAGCATAAAAAACATTCGAAAAAAATTCAATTTTTCTTAGGCAGAAGATTTTATTGCATATTCTTGCACAAAATACACCGAAAAGTGTAGAAAAAAATTGACACCCAGATCCGAGTAGAGGAACACACTTTTTATGACCAAAAACGCATCCAAAAGCATAAAAAACATTCGAAAAAAATTCAATTTTTCTTAGGCAGAAGATTTTATTGCATATTCTTGCACAAAATACACCGAAAAGTGTAGAAAAAAATTGACACCCAGATCCGAGTAGAGGAACACACTTTTTATGACCAAAAACGCATCCAAAAGCATAAAAAACATTCGAAAAAAATTCAATTTTTCTTAGGCAGAAGATTTTATTGCATATTCTTGCACAAAATACACCGAAAAGTGTAGAAAAAAATTGACACCCAGATCCGAGTAGAGGAACACACTTTTTATGACCAAAAACGCATCCAAAAGCATAAAAAACATTCGAAAAAAATTCAATTTTTCTTAGGCAGAAGATTTTATTGCATATTCTTGCACAAAATACACCGAAAAGTGTAGAAAAAAATTGACACCCAGATCCGAGTAGAGGAACACACTTTTTATGACCAAAAACGCATCCAAAAGCATAAAAAACATTCGAAAAAAATTCAATTTTTCTTAGGCAGAAGATTTTATTGCATATTCTTGCACAAAATACACCGAAAAGTGTAGAAAAAAATTGACACCCAGATCCGAGTAGAGGAACACACTTTTTATGACCAAAAACGCATCCAAAAGCATAAAAAACATTCGAAAAAAATTCAATTTTTCTTAGGCAGAAGATTTTATTGCATATTCTTGCACAAAATACACCGAAAAGTGTAGAAAAAAATTGACACCCAGATCCGAGTAGAGGAACACACTTTTTATGACCAAAAACGCATCCAAAAGCATAAAAAACATTCGAAAAAAATTCAATTTTTCTTAGGCAGAAGATTTTATTGCATATTCTTGCACAAAATACACCGAAAAGTGTAGAAAAAAATTGACACCCAGATCCGAGTAGAGGAACACACTTTTTATGACCAAAAACGCATCCAAAAGCATAAAAAACATTCGAAAAAAATTCAATTTTTCTTAGGCAGAAGATTTTATTGCATATTCTTGCACAAAATACACCGAAAAGTGTAGAAAAAAATTGACACCCAGATCCGAGTAGAGGAACACACTTTTTATGACCAAAAACGCATCCAAAAGCATAAAAAACATTCGAAAAAAATTCAATTTTTCTTAGGCAGAAGATTTTATTGCATATTCTTGCACAAAATACACCGAAAAGTGTAGAAAAAAATTGACACCCAGATCCGAGTAGAGGAACACACTTTTTATGACCAAAAACGCATCCAAAAGCATAAAAAACATTCGAAAAAAATTCAATTTTTCTTAGGCAGAAGATTTTATTGCATATTCTTGCACAAAATACACCGAAAAGTGTAGAAAAAAATTGACACCCAGATCCGAGTAGAGGAACACACTTTTTATGACCAAAAACGCATCCAAAAGCATAAAAAACATTCGAAAAAAATTCAATTTTTCTTAGGCAGAAGATTTTATTGCATATTCTTGCACAAAATACACCGAAAAGTGTAGAAAAAAATTGACACCCAGATCCGAGTAGAGGAACACACTTTTTATGACCAAAAACGCATCCAAAAGCATAAAAAACATTCGAAAAAAATTCAATTTTTCTTAGGCAGAAGATTTTATTGCATATTCTTGCACAAAATACACCGAAAAGTGTAGAAAAAAATTGACACCCAGATCCGAGTAGAGGAACACACTTTTTATGACCAAAAACGCATCCAAAAGCATAAAAAACATTCGAAAAAAATTCAATTTTTCTTAGGCAGAAGATTTTATTGCATATTCTTGCACAAAATACACCGAAAAGTGTAGAAAAAAATTGACACCCAGATCCGAGTAGAGGAACACACTTTCTATGACCAAAAACGCATCCAAAAGCATAAAAAACATTCGAAAAAAATTCAATTTTTCTTAGGCAGAAGATTTTATTGCATATTCTTGCACAAAATACACCGAAAAGTGTAGAAAAAAATTGACACCCAGATCCGAGTAGAGGAACACACTTTTTATGACCAAAAACGCATCCAAAAGCATAAAAAACATTCGAAAAAAATTCAATTTTTCTTAGGCAGAAGATTTTATTGCATATTCTTGCACAAAATACACCGAAAAGTGTAGAAAAAAATTGACACCCAGATCCGAGTAGAGGAACACACTTTTTATGACCAAAAACGCATCCAAAAGCATAAAAACCTTACCGAAAAAATTCAATTTTTCTTAGGCAGAAGATTTTATTGCATATTCTTGCACAAAATACACCGAAAAGTGTAGAAAAAAATTGACACCCAGATCCCAGTAGAGGAACACACTTTTTATGACCAAAAACGCATCCAAAAGCATAAAAAACATTCGAAAAAAATTCAATTTTTCTTAGGCAGAAGATTTTATTGCATATTCTTGCACAAAATACACGTAATAGTGTAGAAAAAAATTGACCGCCCGATACGAGTAGAGGGAGACCTCTATTACCATATATTTTATAAATATTTTTCTTCTCAATATTTTTTTTATAAATATTATTTTTTTAATATTTTTTTTATAAATATTGAATTCGTTGTTTTAATAAGTATTGCGGATTTGTTTTTTTTATAAATATTAAATTTGTTTAGTTATTTATATAAAAATTTGACTGATGGTGGTGTAACTTATTGAGGAGTAGGTAAACGAGAAAAAGAGGGTCCTCTGCTTTTACAACGTCTCAACTTTTGACGTCACTTTCGTTAATGTCCCAATATCCTCCGTTAACTTATCGGCATTATTGCCTATGATGCCAACTGTGACATTTTCGTTTTTCTTCCAATTTCTTGTCCCCCTCCCCCTTAATCGAATTGCACTCGAGGAAACACTTATGTAGGTCAAGTCTATATATATTGTGTGTGAATATATATATATATATATATATGTAGCAGTTCTTCGTCCCTTATCATCGCCCAAAATTTGTCTCAAGTTTCAAAAGATTTTCGTTATTTTTTTTGTGTAGTTTTGGGGATTTTTTTCATATGAAAAAAATGTTCTTATTTTTTTTCTTCTTTTTTTAAAAAAATTTATTTGACTCAAATAAGCAATTACCTTTGACTATTATCAAATTGAATATATTTACTTGAGCGAAAATAAATAATTTTTTCCTTCTATTATTTTATAGTAGCACAGAAAATTAAAAGATTAAAATAAGCTGCAACGCTTATTATTTTAATCCAATTTTGCTCATTTTAATACCAAAATGGATTAAAATAAGCAAAATTGGATTAAAATAATAAGCGTTGCAGCTTATTTTAATGCCTTTTAATTTTCTGTGAGAATCAATATTTTTTTTGTCATTTCAGTATCGAAAAAATATCTCATTTTTATTTAAAAGAACTAAGGAGAATTTTTTTTTTTTTTTGCATAATATTTGCGGCTTTTTTGATAAAAATAATAATTTATGGTTAAGTAACCAATTATTTAGATGAAAAAATTTTTTATCTATGGGATGTTAAATTATAATTGTATTTTGATTTGATAAGAAATTCGTTTGAGGGAAAAAGTTTTACTCTTGAGGAAATAATTCATTTTTCTTATAAGGGATCGTGTTTATAAAAAAATATAATATCAGAAGAAAAAGTTATTTAACTTACTCCATCTGGATGATATTTTGGAAGACTTCCGGGTGTTGAGGCAGTGCCACAAAATTCGTTGAGAACATCTTGAAGTTTTTTTGTCGAATCTGAAATTAATTCAATATATAAAAAAAACGTTTATTTTATTTATTAATATTTATTATATTTATTAATTAATTTTATTTGTTAATTCTCATTTCACAATGATTTATAATAATAATTAATTAATTTTATTATTATTAATAAATGTGAATCAATAAAATATTAGTAATTTGAAATTTTTTTAGAACATTTTTTATCGATGAGTTTTTTTTTTATCGAAATAAAAGCTCATTTGTCATCTTTTTGAAACGACTAATTCGAACTTAAAAAAGGAGATTTTACAACCATCAATTTTCTGTTGACTTGAACAAGAAATAAAACATACTTGCAAGGGAATAAAAGTAGAAAATGAGAAATTTTTCGAAGAAAAATATATAAAAAAAAAAAAATTCTATTATAGAATCAATAAGACATTTTGAAATTGACAATTCTAAATTGATAAATCAACAATAAAATAATAATAAAACAATAATAAATTTGGAATAAATAATTTAATTTAATTAAATGTAAATTAAATTAATAAATTAAATTTATTTATTTAGTAGAAGAAGAATTGTGATAAATACTTACATGCTGCTAAATCTTGAAGTTGCTGAAACTCAGCTGGTGAAAGTTTTTCCCAATGAAGGGTCATTCTTACTTCCGTTCAGAATGTTCCGATAATAATGACAACAAAACATACGTTCTTTATACTCTTTGTCACCTGAAACATAGAGAGAAAAAAAAGAAAAACTTTCTTTATTATTTATTTCCTCAAAAAGAGTTTATATATACATACAACAACTTTTGTTCTTTGACCCTTTTATCACAACTTTGTAAAAAAAATTGGATTACAAAAGAATAGAAAATTTCCAATATATATATATATATATATATATATATATATATATATATATAAACATAATATTATATTTCAGACGCTTTAATTTATTTCAAACAATTTCTCTCTTACAACTTTTAATCTGTTTATAAATTCCTACAACGTACAAGGAATATAATTCAAAAAGTTGTATTACAATTTATTTGTAATTCCTTTCTCTCTCTCTCTCTCTCTCTCTCTCTCTTTTAGAATTTTTTCCCTCAAAGAAAATTGTTTCGCTAAAACTTTTTTTTTTGTTGTTGATAATAAAAAGTTAATCCAGCACAAGATTAGGAAATTTTTATTAGAGATATATATATAGGTTCCTATAGAATGCGTGAGATTTATTTAATACATTTTATTTTAATGTACTTTATATATTTTTAATTAATGAGAATTTTTAGTTTTTTTTTTATTTTTTTGAATTTTTAGTCATTTTTCACTAAAATTTGAGTAATAAAAAATTCAATACTAAATTAAATAGTTAATATTTTACTAAAAAATAAATGATAAAATATTTACTAATTTTTAGTTATTTTTTATTAAATATTTTGTTAAAAAAAATATTGCTAAATCAAATATGTAATATTTTACTAACTAGTAGAAAAATTCTACTAATTTTTTGTCATTGTTTACTAAAATTTTGGTAAAAAAAAAAATATTACTATACTCTCTAAATCTGAATTAGTCATTACTAATTTGAATTACTAATTCACTAATTTACTAATTTGAATTAGTGACTCACTTTTTGCTTCTTAATTAGTAAAATTTTTACTAATTATTAGTAACTTTTACTAACAATAAGTGAAATTCAACTAATTCTAAAGCAAAAAATGAGTCACTGATTTAAATTAGTAAACATTTTTACTAATTCAGATTTAGAGAGTAAATCAAATAGTAATATTTTAAAATAATTAATTTTTTTTTGTAAAATCAAAATTTTGACGATTGTACAAACACAATATGCATATATATATACGAATTGTTTGTGTATATCCTATATTCAACTTGGGTGATATGTCCGAGACTGACAGTTGAATCTTTTTTTTTTTTGTCTACTGTCATGCTCGTTGAAAAGCGAGAGATGCAGAATGAAAAAGGAGGAAAATCGGAAAATCGAATATATACGAACAGTAAAGCTCTCTCACGAATCTCAAAGCTGGAGTTGTACAAGTCAAATCCAGTGACGGATGTGAATCCTCTAAATGTCCATAGGAATTCACACATACATATATATATATATATATATATATATATATATATATATATATATGTGAACACAAAACTTTCTCGCGTGGTTTAAGCTTTCATGACTTACAAACACGAGAGAGATAAAATCTTGTAAAATGTTCGGGGGAAAATAAAAAATGTTCAACTTTTGCTCTTTTTTACCTTTTTGAAAACATTCGTTTCTATAATTAATTACATTTTTTTTCCTATAACAAATAGAAAAATATAAATTTTATTTAAAAAAAAAAATTTTCTTTTTATGTGAATTTGTAATTTTTCAAAAATTTGGATAAAAAAAAAATTGTGTTAATTTAACACGAAGAGAAAAAAGAAGCTCGGTGGCGATAACGAGACCATGCGTCGTTTTTCTGAAAGAAAAAGTAGAGCAAGAAAAACGAAAAAAAAAAAAACACGAAGAGACGACAAAGGAGAAAAAAAAGAAAATGTTCCGTAAGACTTTGAGAAGATCGTGAACTTATATATTCTATATATATATATATATATATATATATGTGTAAAGGGCAAACACACTTTAGACTTTCACAGTGCATCGAGGTGCAATGACGCGCATGCGATGATATATGATAGGGGCACTCCAATGCTATCGAGTGTGGTTTTATTGGTTGCAGTAGGTTTCGATTCCCAACTGAATATTTACCATTGCAGATAAATATATCGATTTGTTAAATGCGTGTATCCGCATATTTTAGTAAATTATAATATCACTTTTTCCAAAAAAAAAATTTTTCGATACAATTTTTATTATTTTTTATAATAATAATAATAATAATAATAATAATAATAATAATAATAATCATAATAATAATAACAATAATAATAATAACAATAATAATAATAATAATAATAATATTAATAAATATCATTTGATAAATATATATCAGAGAAAAAATCTTCACTTGAGACAGCGATGAGTTTTACTGGAACAGCGAATTTGTTTTACTGAAGCGGCGAAAGTTTTTGCTAATCTAGAAAAGCATATCGCTGTTCCAGATAAAAATTTTTTTTTCCCTATAAATAAATACTTATTTCTATTATTATTTATTATATCAATAAATAATTATAATAATTAATAATTAATTTTTTATAGTTATATATGTATAATATTTAATAATAAATTTAAATATTTAATATAAATTATAAATATTTATAATAATATTATATAAAATTTATTAATAATTTAATATAAAAAATGTTTTTTATTTAAAATATTTTTCCAATTGAAAACCATTTAAAAATGTAGAAAAAATTAATTTGATTCAAATAATCATACTTGACTATTATCATATAAATATATATATATATATAATATATATTAAATATATAGTATATATACTATATATATTATATATATAGTAAATATATTATATTTACTTAAACCAAATAAGTTTTTTGAAATCAAATAATTGAATTACAAAATAAACTGTATTTATAAAGCAATAATTTTTGTATTTCAAAGAAAATATGATTTAATTGACTGAAATAATTATTATTTAATATACCAATGAATATTTATTTGATAACCGATTATTTAAATAAATAAAAATTAATTTTTTTTTTCAGTGTGAAAAAAATTTTTTTTGGAAAATTTTTTTTTTTACATAACTTATTATTTTTTCAGTCGACGCTCAAAATAACAAGATTATAAGGATGTGGAGTGACCCATATGAAGGAGCAAAAAGAGGCAATATATATATATATATATATACCTAGTTATTTCTCCAACGTGGGATTCGCCGATCGGTGAGTCATATAATATTTATAATTTTTAATTTTTTAATCTAAGAAAAGATAACAATAACATTGTTTAAAAAAAATATTATTTTGAAGAGAATGAGTCTTCAATAATATTTTTTTTTTCAACTTGAACAATTTTTATCTGACAATTATTTTTGTCTTGGAAAGTATAAATTTTTATATATATCCAAAAAAAAAATTTAACCCCCTTTAGAAAATGTCGTGTTATTCCAAAAAATAATTTGGAGAATTATTTTTTTTCTATTTTCTTTTTGGAAAATTTATTTTCCTTTTAAAAATTGCATTTTGGCTTACAGCTACTCTATAAAAGAAAATTAAATTCTCAAAAAAAAAAAAAAAAAAAAAAAAAAAACAATATAGGTATTTTGCTGTCGCGATAAATTTTACTTAAAAAAAAATTTAGGAAATTACAAATTATATATAGTAAATTTTTTTCTGGCATATAGTTTTTCCCGGAAGAAGCAGATCACGATAAAATCATTGATGCACTTTTATTATCTTTATGTTTTTCTTTTTCTTTTATTTAACAGTATATTAAAATGAAATTGGATTGTAATCCAGAAGGCAATATAGAATTTTTTTTTGTTTTTTTTCCTGACAAAAGAGCAACAATAAAAATTCCATTTTTTTTGCACTCTTCATATATATATATATATATATATATCTTTTTTTTTTGAATTTTTCTTGGAATATAAAAGTCTGACAATAACATACAAAACCTCTGTGTGTGAGAAATGCGAATCTGCTTTTGTTGAGCTTTGTAAAAAGCAAATTGTTTTGTATATATGAGACTCTTTTTCTCTAGTGTTGCAAAAAAAAAAAAAAAAAAAAAAAAAAATAGAAGGTGAGAAGGTGCGACAAATAGAATTTTACAGATCTCGTATTTATTTATATCAGATGTAACAAGCTTCATTGAATCAATATAGAAGTTTTCAAAATTGGGTTTATCGATAAAATTTAAGGACGATTTGTTTTTTTTTCGATATATAAACATCAAATTGACAAATACCTTCTTCACGATACATTTCCATGTAAATTTATTTGCGGAATAAATTTCATCCCCTCTTTTGTTTTTTTTTTTGTTACAAGTGAATTTCCATTCATTTCACACCAGGATGTGCATTTTCTTCAAGTTTCATGCGTTGTCTGACTATAGCGCGCTTTTTCCACTAGAACACGTAAACAGAACCGGTTTTCAGTAGTAAGCATCGATTTCAGTCAGACTCGCTCCAGTGAATTTAATTGCTTAATCATTATATATTAAATTTTTTTTTATTTAATTAATTAATTAAAATAATTAAATAAAATTAATTAATTAAAATAAATAAATAAAATTAATAAATTAAAATAAATAAATAAAATTAATAAATTAATTAAAATAAATAATTAAATTTAAAAATTTAGTCAATATTTTATAATTTAGTTTAATTAAATAATTTAACTCGAATAATTTAAATAATTAATAATATGAATAAATTTAAGATAATTAGTTGCCGAAAAATTTATAAATTAAACAAATTTATTTTCCAATTTCTTTATTTTATTTTATAAAATTTAATATGATCTATATTATAATTTTGAATTAAAAAGTAATAATTAAAAAATTAATAAAAAAATTAATAAAGAATTAAAAATAATAAATTAAGGGGAAAAAATTTTTTCTTTCAGAAAAGTTGGAAATTTTAGAAATTAAAAAAAAAAAATTAATCTTTTTTTCTCTAATGTAATTCAAATTGGATAAAAAAAATTTTATCTACAATCGTCATATACAAAAATAAATTATTTGATTCAAATAATCGGTTACTTGATTATTATCAAATAAATATTTATTTGTAATATCAAATAATTATTATTTGAGATATTTGTTTTAAATAAAAAAAAAAATTATTGATTCAAATAAAATCTATTTAATTCAAATAAAAATTATTTGGTTTAAGTAAATATTTTATTTGATATAAAAATCAAGTATTTGAATCAAATAAATTTTTTTTGTATTTTATTCCAACATAATTTTGTCTTGTATACTAAATATAAATAAGCGAATTATTATCATTCTGGTAAAACATTGCTGAATTGAGTTGTAAAACGTTTCTTGGTGGTTTTTATAGGGAGAAAGAGAGAGAGAGAGAGATTCTCATTTTTCTTGGATTTAAAGTATTCTTACGTACTCAGCTATTTTATGAGCAACTTTACCATAAAGAATCATTTTTCCAAGCTTGAAGTCTTGCATTTTTATCTTCTTCTTCTTTCTTTTTTTTTCTTTGAAAAAAAAAAAAAAATTATTTTTCCTGGAAGTCGCGAATCGCACTCTAAATTTCATGGTTTGGATTTTATTATCTCTTTTCCCCCTTTTAGAAGCGACAAGTTTCACATTGCATAGCACAGTAAGTGTCATGTATATATAACGAGAGGTAGTTAGGCAAATTTATTATACTTCGCATATAGTCGAATGTTGAGTATATATAGATCCTATTATTCACGCCACACGCGGTATATACTTAGCCAACCTGTTCCGTACTGATGTTATATATTTATAAATTATTCATTTCATTTCTAAATATTTACCAAAAAAGAAAATGTTTAATTATTTTATGAAAAAAAAACAAAAAAAAAAAAATTATTTCATTCAATCATCTATCAAATAAGTATTTATTTTTATTAAATAATTATTATTTTAGTCAATTAAATGATATTTTGAAATAAATTGTATTTGAATAAATAAAATAATAAAATAATAAATAATAATAGTAATAATAAATAATTATCTAATAAATAATAATAATAATTAAACAAGTTGTCAAAAGACGAAAATTTTTTTTTTTTGGGGTATTTTTTAAAATCCTTTTTTTCAGATTTGAGATATTAATATGATAAATGATCCTACCAAATTTTATCTCAATCCATTAAAACCTGTTAAAGTTATCTTCTAAACAAAAAAGGGATCCACACACACACATACATAAATCCGGACAATTGATCAGGATCTCATATAACATGTTTCTATATAGAGAAAAATTTGTTTCCAACACTTTGAAAATTTTTATAAACGAAAGAACTACAAAGCTTCCTCCACGAGGAAGCAAAAAATCGAAAAAAAATTTATTATTCTTATTCTCTTGCAATTTAGATTTTTAATTAGTAGGGTTTTTTTTAGAAGTAATATGTTTTGTTTGAAGGTAAAAAAAAATAATAGAGATATGATGTTTAATTTTATTTAACTATGTAAGAGATTTTTTTCATTTTCCAGGAAAACATTCTATCCACAGTACAAGTAGTAGTACAAGTAAATATTTAGTTGGACGGGTTTGCAATTTTGTTAGTAATACAAGTAAATATTTAGTCAGACATTCTTGATTTGACCTTCAAACGACCTTGAACGACCTTGACTTGACCTTCAAATGACCTTGAATGACCTTGACGTGACCTTCAAATGACCTTGAACGACCTTGACTTGACCTTGACCTTGTGTCAAACTTTTAAAGCTCTTCTAAATTTTTTCAGTGGTGCAAATAAATATTTAGCCAGACATTCTAATGGTTGAAATTTTCTCAGTAGTATCACTCAGTAGTATTAGTCAGCAGTAGTACAAGTAGTAGTACAATATTGTCAGTAGTACAAGTAAATATTTAGTTGGACGGGTTTACAATTTTGTTAGTAATACAAGTAAATATTTAGTCAGACATTCTTGATTTGACCTTCAAACGACCTTGAACGACCTTGACTTGACCTTCAAATGACCTTGAATGACCTTGAATGACCTTGACGTGACCTTCAAATGACCTTGACTTGACCTTGACCTTGTGTCAAACTTTTAAAGCTCTTCTAAATTTATTCAGTGGTGCAAATAAATATTTAGCCAGACATTCTAATGGTTGAAATTTTCTCAGTAGTATCACTCAGTAGTATTAGTCAGCAGTAGTACAAGTAGTATTACAATATTGTCAGTAGTACAAGCAAATATTTAGTTGGACGGGTTTTCCAATTTTGTTAGTAATACAAGTAAATATTTAGTCAGACATTCTGAATGTTTGAAATTTTCTCAGTAGTATCATTTAGTAGTATTACTCAACAGTCGTACAAGTAGTAAAATATTTATTTAATAAGAAAAGTTTATTTAAACTATTTTTTCAATGCACCAAAAGTTAATTTTTTTTTAATAATAATAATAATAAATAATTAATTGTCTCAAAAATGAAAATTATTTCTTATAAAAAAAATTGAAATTTTTCCAAAGATAATAAATAATTATTAATAGTATTATAATTAATCTCTTTCTTCATTAATATGCTAATAAAATGATAATAATAATAAAATGATTGTTTTGCGAAAACAAATAGAAATATATATAAAATATTCGTTTAGTGAAATTAGAAAATAGAAATTCATGAGCTTTTCAGATGCGGTATTTAACATTTCAAACGCAAGTTAATTTCCATACTTAAACAATAGATTTTGTGTGTATATAAAAAATATTATGTTAGCAATAATTTAAAAATTTAAATTTTTTTATTTATTTTCTTTTTTTGTCTTTAAAGATGTATATATATGCGATATAAAATTGGAGTTTTTTTTCTCCACGGGCATTTTTATCCATTATTTATAATTAAATCCATATATATATATATATATATATATATATATATATATAGCTGCAAATTTATAGCGTTAATAAAGAAAATTTTTTATGTGAAAAATATAAAATTGCGACAACAAACTTTATTATCGCACTTTTCTATATAAACTATTCTATATATATATATATATATATATATATATATTTATTTTATATATTTAAATAGTTATCGATATTTTTTTTATTATTTTTCAATTTATTTATAAAATAAAAATTAATAATTTTTCTAAGTTAAAAATTGTGAGCAAGAAAATAGAAAATGATTTCATAGAGAATAGATTTATTAAATACCAATAAAATGAATATTAATGGTTAATAAAATTTGCTTGATATATATATATACATTTTTGTA